TTTTTTTACAAATCCAAAGGTAACGTAAATTACTCAATTCCGTTTTATCAATTGCATCTACTTCTTCTAATTATGTTACAATTTATTACTGAGTAATTTTCCTAATGCTTCAAGCTTGTTATTCTTATACTGAAAATAAATCAAATTGCACTCGAAGAGGAAATCTAAATTTTCAATATTAATTTGAGAGATTGATTTATTAATCTGATTTTATAGCTACCCATATCATGGATTTATTTTTTATTTTGATATTACTGCATTTCTAATGCTGTTTTCTAGTTCATGCATTAAGAATATTAGTTACGTAAATACCGCATAATACTATATATAATACAAAACACTTTAAATATTACTAATATTTTTATATGTTTTTAATAAATTAATTAACTAATGCATATTTATTTGAAGTGGAAGGGAAAGTTCAATATAAAAACGCAAAAAGAACTGACTTCTTTAACCTATGCTGTAGATGAAATCTTGAGGACAACAGAATACAATAAATACCGTATTTTGACTTTTTTTTTAAATAATTTTACGAATTGAAAACTGAGAGAGAAAAATTATGCGAATAATTTAATTTGAGAAGAATGCGCTTACAGTTAGAAAATAACTAAAAATACGTAATCGTGGCTAAATTACTGGTAACTACCATAACATTATTTCTTAAAAGAAACATAGATCTCAGTAAGACTACGTAATAATATTAACACTACATTATCTGACGGATATTGAGCCGATATCTGACGGTAATTGAACCTTGTAAAGCTTGAGGACCATTTCATAAGTCTTGACTACAGTTCCCAAGAGGGACATCGAAGGAACGAAGAAGGGGAACGAACAAAAGAGAGTGGATATAAGAAAATCGAACACATCAGCAGTACATAAGGCTACCAATGGAATTGGAATGCAAATAGCAGAAGTAAGGTAAAATCAAATGTTTAAAAATTTTCTTAAATGTGAGAACATATGTATAGCTTAAGGAAGACTCTGCGAAATATACATTTCAAATAATAAATGCAAGGAAAATAAAAGGGATGAAATGCTAATCCAAGGATGCAAAATACACATTAAATACACATACACTGAATAAAAATAATCAAAGTAATACAATTTGCCGAGAAACTAGTCCTTGGAGAGAAAACCTATGTGCAATAGAGGAAAAGGAAAATTATTTTAACAATTTTAAGAACCTAGTGCTAAATACTTAGGGGGTAGAATACGCAAGAAAATACGGTAACAAAATCTTCATTTCGCTCAGCTTTGTCTTGATTCAAAAAAAGCATTTAATTCCTTCTGGTGGTCTGCTGTATTTGAAGTTTATTAAGGAGATATAAAAACCAGGAAATATTTTTCACTATTATACAAACTATCTTTATGACAGAGGAGCACAGTCATCCATAATAATAAAATAATTAATAATTGTGATCCATAATAATAGAAAAGTACCACATAAGAAAATGCCTGCAGGATCTCTGGTTTGATGACGGATTTCTATATTCTCACTTTATTATATAGCATCAATTTATTGTAGTGCATCTACAGACGCCGCTGTATTCACCATCTATGGCAAGATAAGGAAACAATGCAAGAATAACACCAAGGACACTTGCAATCTTTAACCAATTAAGTAACGCTCAAAACTAAAACTAATTCAGAAAAAGTCCTAAACGATGATATTTTACAAGCTCGGGCAAACTACATGAAGAAAATCTTCCTTTGAAGTTATACGGTGTTGCTGTCTGGCTATCCCTATGATAGAAAGGCAGAAGCAACAGCATGGTACCATTCCACTATCTTTTTCCTCAATATATAAAAAAACCTTTCCGCACTAATTTCTAACCCTACATTATGCGCGCTCTCCAAAATACCACAATTATGTCTCCTAGCTTAGCTAGAAGGGTTTGAAACCAAAACATTATGAAGTTATCACATCTACCGATTCGTGACTCTAGAAGAAATGTTTCCAAAAAACAAGCTTCTCCTTCACTGGAGGGTTACTAGCCGAACCACTGGAGAGATATTAGCCGAAACACTTTCGCTCGAAATAATGTCTCGACTAACTTCACGGGACATATCGCAAATGAGATGAAAATATTTCGCTGTCTCTCGCGTAGGTTTTCAGAGAAGAACTAATTTTAGAACCTAGAAATCAACCGATCAGACATCCCGAAACTTAAAGTTCCCAGAAATGTTCTTTCCGACGTGCAACCAGGGATAGTTTTCCAGTCAGATAACGATTTTACAGTTTAGGCACCAAACGTTCTTACATGAGCTAACATACGATCCGAATAACTTTAAAAACCCAATCATTTCGTATTTCTGGACGCCTACATCAAAGGTCCTATAGATATCAATAGTAGTAGTAATAGTAGTAGTCAAAGGCCCTATAGATATCAATAGGAGTTGATTTTGTTGTTAAGAGAACTTGCAGGATATACAGATTTATCAAAAATAGTTGAAAGTTTGAATCAACAGCATATACAGATGGGTTAAAAATAGACGAAAATTTAGGAACAGCCTGCATTTTTCATCAAGTTCAAAATGTAAAAATACGCATCCGGGAAAGGGCGCTTGTGTTCAGGCCATCAAACCATTCAGTTTCCCAAGTGGAAATGTTAGCTATTAAAAAAGGCAACTGCAATTAATAAATGCATTCAACTCAATCAACCAAACGCTCTTCCTTCGCCACATGTAATAACGAACTTCAAGCACCTTTCTCTAATAGCACAAGCAACTTTTCAACTCCACGAAGAAAATAGCCAAAATTGAAATTTCCCTTGACTCTCTGAAAGCACATGTTGGGAACTCTGTCTCTGAAAACACCAACTGCCTTTCTAAGAAGAAATTGCTACACCCGATTCTGAAGCGATGAACACAAAATCTCTGAAATCGTATGAAAAATGAATTATACAAAAAATAAATCAAATTTGACAGAACGAATGAAAATCAGTACTCCAAGACAGGACAATACATAACTTAACTAATTTAATAAATGAGAAAAGATGTCTAATTAAGCTTCTTTTAAATCAGTTATAATCCTAGATATCGCTCTTTTCCCATCTGTTACCTTGTGAGAAAGACGAGGTAACAGATGGTAAATTTGTCTTACTCAGGCAACTGTGCTTTTGGCGAAAGATGCAAATTAGAGCACTACTTTTTCTTACACCCAATTAACACAATGTTAGACCAATTACGAAAGAATTCGAGTTTCGAATTTCTTATAAATACTACCGGCAATGTATGAAATGCCATAACTCATGTCATGAAAAATGAGCAATGCCCTCGACTTGAATCGAACCACGGACCTCTCGATTACGCGTCGAGCGCGTTGACCTTTACAGCACGAAGACATGCTAAGGAGGCGGGAGAAATACCTTATATAATATAGACCTAATCTTTTTTTGAATAAATTTACGTATGAATATCATGTATTTTGGCGCTCCTAAACGAAGTGTAAAATGCAAATGGTAAATTCTGATGAGGCGAGTGTTACGTGCCTTGCCAATTGATTTTCGAAACAAATTGATGTAGACTGCGTAAAAAAAAAGGGACAGTTCCTATATCTCCCGTTCTACTTGGCCGATTGACAAAATTCAAACTGCGTTTTCATGCCTCGAAAGCGCGACTTAGGATTTATATTAGATTTATATATAGCGTTGCTCTAACACAGGTACTTTGACTCAAAATCGGACTTTTTCTGAAATAACATACCAATTTTGTTTTCCATATTTCTACTCTACGACTCAAATTATGCCTCGATAGAAAAAAGGCACCTCGTTCCTACCTTTTTACACTGTGCATGAGCGAAAAACATGTCACATTGTTTCTACTTCCAAATAATTTTAGCAAAATGTCTAAACCACATTTTATGTCAAATTTTAAAACGCACCAATATAAAAATCTACGTATACCTTCGGAAATTTTGAATAAACAATTGTAATTTTTTGCAGGTATGCTTGAAATACGTTACTTTAAGATGATGGTAAAAATTTTATAGATTATAATTAAAATTTTTGTTTTTGAAAAATTTATAAAAATTATTTAAAACTGCAAATTTTAAAAATAAATCATAAAAAAATGGGTGAATTTCATTTGGAATGAACCTGAATTTCGACATGTGAAAGGAAGGATCAAACAAGTTTAATAAAAAAAGGAATATTAATAAATATATACTAAATTAACATTTAGGAGGTCAATTTTTTAAAAACTACTCGTGCGATTTTTACAAAACTTGGTAATTTGGCGTAATTCGAGTCGTAGAACTGAACTATGGAAAAAAATTGGCATGTTATTTCAGATAAAGTCCGGTTTTGTTTCATATTAGAACTATGCTATATATAAATCTAATACATATCCTGAGTCGCGCTTTCAAGACATGAAAAACGCAAGTTGACGTTTGTGAATCGGCCCAGTAGAACGGGAGATATAGAACTGTTCCTCCCTTTCTTTTGCGCAATGTAAATCATGTTTTGCCGATTTGTTATTTGTTATTTGGCTGATTTGTTATTATTCTATAGAAGATCTGAGAAACGTCTGAAATGTTAAACGTTTCACACATGGCCGGCCAGTTTTCGGCTTCGGCTTTCCCTAAGTCTACAGAATGCCTAAGTCTACAGAAATCCCTAAGTCTACAGAATGCCGGCTTTCACACATTGCCGTTAGCATAAACATTCAAAAATGTCTTCATAAAATCAACAATATTGAGAAATTAGAACAGGAGGAGATATTTATTAGCAATAATTGTTACTAGACAAGTCTTTACATTAGTGTACTTTCCCTTCAAAATGATAACTGGATACAAACGTTTTGGCAGATAGAACTGAGGTCCTATAGGATGTTTGGCTGAATCAATAGCATCGCGAGACACAACTTGTATCACCATATGCATGGTAAAGTTCTGTTGGCCCGCATGCTTATTCTTGTATTATTATTTCTTCTTCAGGTGCACAATGCTTCCTGAATAAGTTTTCTTATTTTTAAACATATAAAAACTTTCTCACCTGTTTTCTTCCGTTGACGTTGATATTTCTGCCGACTGGCACCTCTGTGTTGTTTCTATTATCTTCTTTTCATAGCAGTCATAATTTCCATTCATGCTATCTGCTTGAGGAATGTTATTCATTCCATAATGTTGGGATAATGAATGTTTCAAATGATATGACGCTTCTGCTGATTCGTTGGTACCATAATATCTCGAACTGTATGGGTGGAGAAAATCTGGAGGTGTCCTGTAATAGTCTGGTGGACCAAAGGATAGTCCGAAAGGTCCTTGCGGAGTTGTGCTGGTCACATAAGGTGGAGTCGATGTAGACGGTGGAGATTTTTGGTAACGACAACTCCTCATCTCGGGTACCATCATGATTTGAGTCCAGATCTCGATCTGAAAAACATAGAACGAGCAAAGTTAAACTAAGGTTTTAAAAATATTTGAATTATAGAACACCGTAATTTGTTTACTGACCAGGTTAAAATTTTAAAGAATGTTCAAGCGCATATTATTCCATTGCTACATAAAGGCATTCATGCTTTCCAAAACCTAAGTATACAGATTTTGTTTGCCACTAACACGGATGGGAAACTTGCAGTTCTTAATTCCTCAATGTTTACAACATGGAAGGTGTCTCTTAAATCAACGATCACAGGAAATTTTATACAAATTTTATAGATTCCCATTCCTTAAAAAATCCTCTGGTGCGACATTAAAAGGCGAATCTTTCATTATTTATTTCTTTCTTATTATGACGACTATTTTAGGAAGTTGCCTGCGGAAGTGGTTAATACTTTATATATTTCAAAATTATGAAAGCACTTAAATCTAAAATAATTTCTCAAGTATCTTTCAAGCGATCAGTTTCTTATATGCTGTTTCATTATATAAATTTAATATCCGCTAAAGAAAAATCAAGTCATACTTCGCTGCAAGGAATAATTTATATGTTTTGTAGCAGAAAAATAAATTTAAAAAAATATAACTTTGTGTGGGGGGGGAGAACTATTTTGTGAAAAGAAAAAAAGTGATTGCTTAAAAATTAAGTTTTTAAGAAAAAATTAAGTTTAAAAATTAAGTTTTCTCGTGTAGCTAAAATAACACGATAAAAGCAAGATATAAAAAATTAATTGTTGTCTATAGTTCCTAACATAGCTGATTTATCAATTTGGAGCTCTATCTCAGCATACAAATTTGGCTACTCGTGCATATATTAATTAATATTTCTTAAATGAATAGTTAATGAATTAATTACTGCATCATCACAATGCCTGATTGAGGATTTGTAGCCCCTATGTAAATGTTTCTCAAAATTTGAGCTTTGCAGTTTAGGAAAACAGAAAAGGAAAAGCATAACGGTAAAAACGTTCTGCAAAGAGCCGAATAAAATAAAAACAAGCTCATTTATTGCAAAATTAAAGGCTTTATATAGAAGGAAATGCGGACTTTCTGTTTATGATTGGATGTCCTATGTAAAATTAGAAGTATTGCCAATTGTACCAAAAAATACAGTGGGTTCTAGGGAAAGTTTGCTGATCTTTTCTCTCTTAGCCTCCTTCGCCAACATATACACATAGGTATTATTACACGCAGACAAAGGATATTTACATAGGTAAAGAAAGATGCATTTTTAAGTCTAAAAACTGAATAGTGAGTTTTCTGTAAAAAAGTGAGAATTAGGGTCCCAACAACACGTTTTTACTATTTTTACTCTGATGTTGGTGGGTCTATGTATGACGACTTCTGCTCACACGATAACTTTTATATGAAATTTCTAAAAATTTCCATTTTTGGTATTTACTTTTTCTGCGTTCCTATAAGGAAGTTATTAGAATTTGGTAAAACAGGACAACCGATAGAGGTACTTTACTTGAATCCTATGTTTTTATTTTTTTGTTACGTATGCATGTAATCCTAAGTTTTTTTTTCCAAGTTTTTGTCCACTTATGTATGCAATCCTATGTTTTTGTACGAGTATATGTACTTTATTTGAATCCTATAACAGATTTCAAGGAAAACCTGTATCAACGTACAATCCAAAGCTTTTTAAATTTTATCATTTAAGTCTTTCATATCAATAGGCACAGCATATTAAATTTAGGATAAAATTGATTAAACGGAAGAGATACTTTACTTGAAGCATTGAAGAGACTTACTTAAAAAGTATATTATGAGGTAATAAAAAATGTCGCACATTTGATGTTTGAAATAGGAATATGATTGCCAATAATATATTATGCATTTTTGAATAATGCCAAATGCAACGAGAATAAGCCCATTATGAAGATTAATTTCAAGTATAAAAATAAATTTAAAAAAGAAAAGGAAAGAAAATCTGAAAGGATCCAGCTCTTAACATTGCACCGGAACATTTATTAAGCTTTTTTATACTGTCATTGAACATCGAAGATTACTAATCTTCTTCTGGACTTACTCGTGCTAACACAATTTTTTTTTTTTTTTTTTTTTTTTTTTTTTTTGTCAGTTCAGCTTTAAGCATCGCTTTCTTTACATTTACGTCCTACACAACTCAAGAGTAAAATCACAAAATATTTAAAAAAATAGGATATCTTTAGATTTCCCGTCACTGTATTAGAGATTGCCGTGTATTGATTCTATATTTTTTATGTTATTTCCTTGAAAATTAACCGCTCGAGCGGCCAGCCGTCTAAAAGAATTAACACATAAAAGAAAAAATTGTCTAATGATTTTAATCAGTCAGTGTCATTTCATGAAAATATTTAATATTTCTAATTAAAAGGCTCGTGATTTAAATGCATTTCTACTTAAATAAATCAGATTAAGAAGTAGCAAACATTTTGTAAGAATTAGGTTTATTCGTTTTTAATCATTTGGTTTGCTACTCAATAACAGAAAGATTAAATTTGGAAACTTAATATTTTACAGTTTACTGAACAGCAATACGCTAGTAAGTGGAGATTAAGTATTCTATTTGAGAGCAGCTTATTACTTTCAAATAGCCAAATGAGTGGATTAAAATTGAAAGATTACATTTTGCTGAATGATAATCGTCTGGCGAGACGAATATAAAGATGTTGCATTTCGAGAAGTGCTGCCAATTTCGTTAAGCAAAATTCGTTAAATTTGTGTAACATATATGAAATAAATAGAAAACTATTTCGAAATTAAAAATTTGGGCTTCGAGGTGCAAATGTTCTGATGGAAAACTACGTATATTAAATACAAATGTAGAAAATTTTAATTTGAAAGTTAAATATTTTATGCTTTGCAGAATGGCAACACACTGATACGTGGAAATAATAATAGTATCCTATTTGAGGCATTGACAACACATTGCTTAAATAGCCGACTTTGATAATTAAAACTGTGAGATAAGTATCTTAATTTTGTCAAATGGCAGCTGTCTGGAGCGATGGAGATAAAAATGTTTTATTTCGAACAGTGCTACTACCTTTTCCTTTTTTATCGCTGAATTTGCTAAAAGCAATTCTTGAAATTTGTACAAAATAGGAAATGTACCAAAAATAAATTTGAAATCCTGGATTAGAAGTGCCCATGTTGGGGTGGAGGACTATATGTATTAAAACTTCGGTTGGTTTTAGGTGCTCTCGTTTTTCCACAGTGCGAAGGACATACATGCAGTACGATTTTTCATCATTAATTTTTTTAAATAATACATTTGATGGCAACAATTTGAAGTGAATGGGACACAGAAGTGATACGGGCAAAAAATAAAATTCGAAATTAACATTATCTCTGGTACTAAAAAAATCTCTTAACGTTGCATTTATTTTGAGGTGGAAGAAGAATAACAGAATGCAATCCAAAGAAGATACTTGCTTTTACAGCTGTTTCCCGTGTAAATTCCTCAGTCTCAAAACAATCTCCACCATCTTAAAGAGAAAGTCTTTGAACGTCTTCTGTCAACAGAAAACTGTAAACTCTTTTATGTTCACTTCATTTTCAGTAGGTTTGTGGTTGATTGTATAGTATGATGAACTCTTTACAAATAATCATTCAGACAAAAGTAGAAACATGTTCAATTTTTGATGGGTCGTGGATTTATCTAAATGACTGTAATCTTATGTTAGAAAGGACGAAGACAAAAATGTGCGTGTCGCCGACGCAATGTTTGCGTTTACAGAGTATTTAAGTGTTGTTATATCTTTTTTTAATGTTCGCTACACTACTTGTATTTGGCATGTAAATTGAGGAAAGTATTTGGATGGTGAAGATATCCGGAATTGCTCGGAAATGGCTATTATTTGTAATCCAGTTACTTCTTGGACTAAATTTATGCAAACTATTAAAAAAGAGATTAAGTGATGAGTATTTGAAGACACTGGAAAATATGCAAATATTTAATTTTATTATTGTTTGTCTGAAGTCCTGGATAACAACGATTTGTAAAACAAAATAAAAAATATCTATACAACAATGAATGCTCCTTGCAATAAACTAAAAAAGCAGTTTAAATTAAAGTGCTAGATTAAATGAAAGAACTTCGTCAATTGTATAATTTTTATTATCGTATAGCTTTTATTCCTCATATCCCATTTTATGTTACAGCATCTCACTTTTCCCTTTCCGTTATCCTGCCAAATTGCAAATTTTATAAAGTTCGCGCGAATTTAAGTGAGCGTTTGAGATTGCTTTAGTCACAGCGTGTTTCGCCTGTTGAAGGCCAATTTACTAGTTGATATTCTATGGTAGCGTTATTGTCTACAGCATTGCTTCAATCTTGCAAATAGTGCTGACACGCCGGTATAGGTTTGCGCCATTTTTCGCGTTAAGTATTTCTGCGTAGCCTTTGGTTATTTGAAGACTTTATTTTAATTTAAGGGTCTTTTATACCCTTCTTACATTCCTGTTTGTGTTATAGACATAGCAATAAATTGCTTAGCTGTAATTAGAGGCTTGACAGTGTATGTTACCACAAAGAGTAAGACTACAAAATTTCAGGAATTTCTTTAAATGCAACAGTAGCTTTAAATTCTTTAGAAAATGAGTTTAGTAACTCTTTACCCAGTATGAGAAAATAAGCTAGGATTGAAAGTCAGAACTTAGTTTCGAAACCATTCACCACAATGGACTCCAACACTACAGATGAATAACATTTTTGGAACATTCACCAACACCACGGTCTTGGTGACTCTAGATAAATATCCCAACATCGCTTTAAACATATGCACTTTTTCATGGGAGTTAATGGCATTAGAAAAATATTTTTAACTTTCATGTTCGCCACCGCCGCGATGTTTCTTGATCTGAACATTTGTAAGCATTTGCCAATGAGAAATCCGCGGTGGTTGCACATTTCTCTGCTTCTCATGAAGAGGGATCTCTACCCTGTTACGCTCGAATTCGATACAGTTCTTGACTAAATTTATGCCAAACTCAATATGTTGCTT